ACACTTTTTCACTGGGCCGTGCCTCCATTTTTCCCGGCCACTCCGAGCGCAGTGCGTTGGGAACTTCGCTCTCTCGTAGAAACTATCGCCGAACGCTTTGATAGATGGATTTCTTGAGCTTTTGGAGGTTCGGTGATTCTTTCGGACATCGTTGGGTGTTGGAAGGTTAATAACCTGGGAGGAGATAGTCGAATTTTCGTGGGAAACTGCTTTGATCCTTGTGCCACGTATTTAATAGTACTTTGTATGATTCTCAAATGGAATTTTAGCGACTCTGTTTTGAAACTCTCACTTCAAGTAGATTTATTCGAACTTCATCGTCCTGAATGGCACTAAAGAAATAAATTTGATCCTTGTGCCATATATCTAATAGTACTTCGTATGATCCTCAAGTACAATTTTAATGACTCTAGTTATCAAATGATATCAATGTTTTGAAATTTCTGCTTCAAGTAGATTTATTCGAACTTCGTCCTGAATGGCACTAAAGAAATAAATTTGATCCTTGTGCCACGTATTTAATAGTACTTTATATGATCCTCAAATGGAATTTCAACGATTCTACTAATTATCGAATGATACCAATGTTTTGAAACTTTCGAAGATTTATTCGAACTTCATCGTTCCGAATGAAACTAGAGAAATAAATTAATTAGAGCTCGAAGGGAGCGGAATGTTGATGGCTACCGAATAATTCAATGTTTAACGTTGAAATCGTCGAGTCCAGGTTCTCTGGTCGTCGGAACAGCGTAGTTCCGAGCGAAGTTTAATAAAGGGTAACTCGCATGTACTTACTCGGTTGGCGCAACACTGTTCCCGGGTGTAATTCGAGATAAGAACTGGTCCTGGGCCATCGCGACGCGTCCATCTCGTCCGGCGGGACTGCCGGGACAGCGAGCCGACGGGCTGTTAAATATACGTACGTACACGCGTAGGAATAATAATTATTGCTTAAGTACAGGGCTGCGAGTGTTCGCGGCGCGGTGTCTTTGATGGAGAGTTCCGTACTGGTTCGGTATGGGGTCCCATTCCCACAGTACTCGCTTCAATTAAACAAACAGTCCGAGCCTGATCCGTAAATGTTTCGATTTTCCATGTTTCTACCGGCTGCCAATGGCGTCGGGCTCGTCAACGATCAATTAAACGATCAACTCCGCGACGTCGACGTAAATCTTTCAATATTTCTCATAATCAAACGGACCTTACAAACATCTCAATAATTACTGACTGGCGACAGATTACGAATCACGTCTAAATTAAATGAACATCATCGACAATTTATCCTATCATTCTATCGCTAAATAGAGAGAAACGAAAATTTCAGTTACTGATATTCATGGTTCTGAAGTTACAACTGATTCTGAATTTAACGAATCGCCAGGGACTGTTTCATCGAAGTTACGCCAATGGTCGATCGGGCCTCCACGTGGTACCGCAGTTATCAATTTTTAGCCGTCATAATCGCCGGACAATTCTTGGTTTTTACGTTTACGCGGATGGAAAGCGGCGGAGGGAAGCGAAAACGAAGAGAACGAGGAACGTAATGAATCGAGAGTGAAGAGATAGAGTGAAAAGGAGAGGGATGACGGAACGAACGGAGGAGAGACGGAGACGGAGGGGCAATGGTACAGATGGGCGAAATACTTAGTAATAACTATACTTATCCGAAAGAATCCCGACTGTTGAGTGGGCAAATCGGTCCGCAGGGTTTCTCCGCGTGTCAATCAACCCTCCGACACTGGTCGTCTTTAATTATCGTGGATCGTTCGGTCGCAGGCCGCCTGTTGTTCGAGCCTCGAAGGTGGCCGGCGGTGCTCCGCCGTGGAATTCCTGAAACCAGTCGAACGCGGGGAGGCCGGAACGATTATCTCGATTATTCTGGCTAATTAAGGCGCGGTGATGCATTGTTGCCTCGCTTGCCCACACGGGATATTCTTTCGGTGCCCGCCCGATGTGTCAGATTTGACAGTGGCGCCGTTCGTTTTGGCGTTCCCGGTGGTTTCCGTGATTCTAGACACCTAGAAAATTCAAAGAAGATACTCCTTATATCGGGGAAATTGTTTATAGCAAGATTTATAGTTTGCGATAATTATGTTTGGATTGTAGATGATGTTTCGTTGGTAATCGACAGTTATTTGTTTTCCATGGTGCGAGACGTGGGAAGAGAACAGGCGTTTGGAGGGAATATTTTATGACAATGTTTATAGTTCATTTTTCGAAGAGTATCCCGTGATTCCACGGCGCTGCGTCACGAGACAATTATTTCCCGATGTTTAATTAACAAACGTTATCGTTGACCGCGTCATTACGCGGGGCACGGGCTGGTATTGCGTTTAATCTGACTTCAATTAGTTGATTATCGGAGATCGCGGATGAAAGATTTGTGACGGCTCGGCTTAATGGAAATGAATTTTCCGTTTGTTCCAGTTTAAAACCACCGCAAAAGGATGGCGTGACGAAGTCGAACCCCAGCAAACGACACCGGGAACGACTGAACGCCGAATTAGACACGCTGGCGTCGTTACTTCCGTTCGAGCAGAACATACTCAGCAAACTGGACCGGCTCAGCATCCTCAGACTCAGCGTCAGTTACCTCCGAACGAAAAGCTATTTCCAAGGTACGCTTCACGGTGATTCTATCCGTCGATTTGGATCCTTGTTTGTTTTCTGTCGCAATCCTCTATGCAAATTCTCACGGGCCAAATCAAACACGCAAATGCACATGGGTTTCACGAACTATTACTAATCAGTTTACCCTTAACACGTTGAATGCCGCGCGATTTCATGGTACAAAGTACTTGAAATGGGAAAAATATGATATTAAATCATTTGATTGAATTGCATTGTCATTATTGCCGGTTCATCTAGCTGAATGTCACCACATTAGTTAGCATTATTTATAGTATGGAAATATTTTCAAATAATCATGGTTTAATTGAGTGAACTATAGTAATTCGATTTTGTTGGGGGTCACCGGTGACCCCCATGGCATTCAACGTGTTAAATGCATTCAAATTAGAATTACATGACTACAACAAATTGGAAACAATCAGCAGTTTGGGAGATGTAATAAAAGAATGATGATTTGGAAAGATCAGTAAATATAGGAAAAGAGGTATGGAAATATAATAAAATTAATCAAATCATATAGATATGGAAAAATAAATAATTCATAAGTTCGAGAAAAATCAATAGGATGTAAAGATTACAGTAGCTGAACTCTCGATTCATTTTCAGATACGAGTTTCATATTAACACGTCGAATGCTAAATTTCAGCTACTAAAAACGCGAGCGTCGGTGATTATATTGATACATTTTTAAACATCGATCAAACCAAAATTTCTAACTTGCGGAAGAGAATAAGGAATTCGATTTTGTAAATTTTACTTTGGATTTGTGTTATACACATCTAAAATGTTACACGAACGTAGGATTCCCAATTAACACTAGAATTACCGTACCAGTCAAAATGACTGGTTTCGATTGTTTTGTTTGTTATTGATATCTTCGAAGCATTGAATATTCGAAATGATTTTGAAAATGAATAGTTTCATTTGAGAACTATAATGAATGCTTGAAGAAACTGGAAATAATCTATTGTTACAATTTTTATAGGGATTGCATATTAATCGTATTAACCCTTTGCACTCGAGAATATTTTTCTCAACAAATATTCATTATTTTCTGATGAAATGTCAATGATATGTTCTACAACTAACATAAAGGAATACCTTGCATAAATTAAGTAACAGAACTATTTTATTTCGATGTTCCGTGTGTTGACGCATTATATAAAAATTTAATATTGAACTCTAAATTTTATCGTTTTCATGGGTCAAATTAAATGGCGAATGAAAGGATCTCGAGTGCAAAGGGTTAAATCGGTAGTTCTAGTGTTAAATAGACTAAATATCCCGCATTATCGCGGTGACGTGTGTTAATATTAGTAATTGCATTGCACGCGTGATTAACCCTTTGCACTCCGTAGGCTCCTCTCAGTCGCCATTCGATTTGGCACAGAAAAATCATGGAGTATAATATTTAACGTTAAGTGTCGTGTGATGCATTAATATGTGAAATATTAAAATAAAACAGCCTCTTTCTTCAATTTATGTACGATTTCTCGTGAAGCCAGTTTCAAGAAATGTTAACACACTATCGGCGGGTAACATCAAACTTGACTCACACGTATAGCGGGCGAAAATTAGTGAAGTATGAAAAAAGTACACTTTTTAGAAAACATGTAATATCTTCACATCTAATAGTAGGATTTCAATGAAATTCAGAAAATAGGTATCACATAGTATTTCGAACATGTCGATGAAATTTAAAAAAAAATTCAATTTTTAATTTAGCTTCCTATCACTTCATTTAATGTATAACATGGACCAAACAATAATTGTTAATTTCTGAAAGTTTTAAAAGTTCATGTAGTAAGAGAAGAGCTTAATAATGTTTAGGAATATTTTATTATTCAGTTTCTTATACAGTAATTTTATTGACTCTAATATTTTTTTAATGTATGGTATTTTTGAAAACACTCACCCCTATGAAGGGGAATCTGACAAAACTTACACATATAAGAAATTAAACTTTTCTTTTTATGCACTGCACGAGCAGGACATTAAAAAATTACGACTGCCCAAAAATTAGTGACAATGAAAAAAAAAAGCATTGGTGAGTGTTTCACTAACACTTAGCGTACGTTCTGCATAAAAGGTATTTTAA